ATTTATAAATACATTCTACCGAATCTAGTTGTATATCATTTATGCTTTGCTGAAGAACTGTTTCTTGTAATTTGACGATTCGGGAAGTTGTAGTATCTAATATGGCCTGCATTTTAATTTCCGCTGATGACTCGGTAATGAGAATACTGTGGTCAGGCGGATAACATTTTTTTTTTTATATTTTTTATAACATCGTAAGATGGAAAAACATTAACTTCTTTCTCTTTTAGTCGTTGGCGCAATGTCATGTATTGTTGCTTGGTCAAGTTTAAATCTACAAGAATAGCCAGAGCTTCTTCAGGGGTAAACATTTTATTAATACTAAAATTTTGTGTAAATATTTTATATGCTTTTTTAAATTTATAAGCTCGAGTTGGAGTTGTTTCGGTCACTTCTCCGATAACTATTGATGCGTGCCTTTTACCAGAAGACCGTAAGCTTAGACGAGAAGCAAATGCTAGTTCTTGAGAACTATGTGAATCTAACAAATGTTGAACCCTTTTTTTTTTAGTTTTATCACAGCTTTCTTCAAAATTTTTTTTTGGACGACCATGGCTTTTAGTTATAGTATTATTTGTCACGTTTTTATTAAAAGAAAATATTAATTTAGTATCAAGCCAAGGAGAATATTTTGAATACAATTTATTTGCATTACGACCACACTCTTTCCATTTTTTTTGAAGGCTTGATAAAAAGGTAAAAATAACCAAAGAAATGTTAGTTTCATTATTGTGTATATTTAGCTTATTTTCTATATATTCAATAATGATTTTTCGAGATTGGACTTTCAGTGGTCTAATATTTTCATTTTTTCTTAAAAATTTAAATAATTCTCTACGCATAACACCTAACAAAAATAATTATTATTTTAATAGACGCAGATAAAAGCAAATAAAATATATGTACAGTTAAATTTTATGAACTTAAGAATGATCTAGCATAGTATTTGCAGAGGTCAGAATTGACCATTTTTTTTAAACTACCATTAAAATTAAAATTTTTAAAATTAAACGTAAAATGTTGTATTGGTCATTTATAATACTATCAAATGGGTAGTTAAATTTATTAGTACAAGAAATTGACTTAAACATACCTTCTTTAGTATCCTCCATAGTAAATAAAATACACAATATTTCAATCTAATGACTCTTACCACTCGAAAAGTCAAACGCAAATAACGTAAAATATTGTACAACAGGCCAATTATTTACTTATTGCAAAAATTGTTTACAACTTGAAGCTCGTTAAATAGCATTATCTCTTGAATATTACTGATAATTTTTATAACATCTTGTCTATAGTAACCTTATAAACAAAATATAAATTTATTAAGCAATTATACGATAAATGAAAATTTTATTTTTGTCCACCTATAATCGATATTTCGCCCACTGTGCGTATATCTAATGTATAAAAATATAATTGCGGCACACGGATTGCGTAAAGTATCATCCTTAACGGGCGAACGTAAATATTTTGATTTCGACCCGGATTTCGCTTTTCAGTTGGCGTAGTATTGTCAAGTAATATTATATGTTATTGGAAAACCTTTAAATAGTATTCACTGATATCGACCTGGTAGGTTTTGAATTTTCGTACAATTTTCAAATAGTATAAGTTAGAGATGGCGAAAAAAACACGCCAAATAGAGGTCTTCTGCATCATACAATCGAAACAGTCACGCACACACACACACACTTACACACTCCGACCATGATATTGATTGACTTATTTGAAAAAATAAAGGTATTCAAGATTTTTCGATGTGTGTGTGTGTGTGTATGTGTGTGAGTGTGTGTGTGTATGTGCGCGCGCGCGCGCGCGTGCGCATGTATGCGGATCATAACTTAATTTTTTGGATTCAAAATTAATACCATTAAAACGTATCGATGTGGAATAAAAACGTCACGCGAAAAAAGTTTACCCCGGTTATTGTTAATAATATTAAAGCGGAGTGTCGTGTGTACGACGTTTACTGCAGTACAATATATATGTATATATCAATGTTTACGTTCGAAATATAATACCATGTGTATACATAAATATGCGTCCAACCGATTATGTATATAATACTATAGTTTGTTATACTATACAAAATTTAAAAATACGTTTATTATATGTTCATGCGAATGCAATATAGAATCGTAAAAACGAAAATCGATGCATGAAACAGTTTTCATTTTTATTTTAAACGACATAACGATGTTAAATTTCCCACACGCACACACACACATGTACTATCTCAAATCGCTTATAATTTTAAATATGTCACTCGGGCGGTATGATAAACGTATGACGTTGTGCCTACTCAAATAATATAATTTACAGGGCGGACCCCCAATAGTAAAAAACGGTTATTAAATAATTTTAAAAATAACCTAAACAACTTGTGATTGAGAAAACTTAGATTTCACAGGTGCTTGGCGATAAATGTGCTGTATTGTATTATATTTGTTGATTACGAATCGTTTGAACGTAAGGGAATATCGCGATAAACGCTGACAGAACCGCTACAGAATTTTTTTTTTTTGTTTCTCACGTGTGGTTGACAAAAAAAACTCTAACACGTGAACCAGGAAATATTGAAAATATCAAACTAGTACACGCGTTGCACTGTTGATCGGAGAACGATAAATACGTTACGTGGCTCTCAGACATTTCAGACACACAATCTCTACGTAGAACGTTACACAAATATTTGATTTATCGTATGTACAAAACACAACGGCTGTTTGTTTATGAATTATCCCAAAAAGATAATCGTGTTAGTAACGCTTTGGTAGCACTTTCTGTCTGAAATTAATAAACGTATCGAAAAACAAAATAATTTAGTCCATTCAACTATAAATTCTATTAAATCCGACAAAACACCTTTTGAACGTAATACGTTCGGTTCGTAACAACCGAAATGTTTGGTGTTCAAGTGATAGCGGGCCGTCTACAAGTTGTTGTCGAAAACAAGTGAAAAGCGAGTATTGTTTGATGTTGAATATCGCATTGCAGATATTTCGCTGCCTCTACCCTTCTTCCCTTCATCTTTCGGTGACTATATCGTACTGCAATGACGACTGAATATATTCAACGATATAATATTCAGTTGACTGATACAAAAATATCATCGTAGATGTTCCGTAAACCGTATCAATGTAAGTTTTTAAAAAATAATAATCAAGGAATCGCGTCGCAAATAAAACGCTCGATTATTATGGTTTAATTTTTAATTTTTTTTTTTTTTTATGCATTTCATTTTCATGATTTCCACAAAATCCCGTCAGTTTCAGTCGAAATCGTGTAAACGAGGGTACTCCAAAAAACGTTCGTTCTAAACGGATGTCAATGTGAAAACAATATTTTGTTAGATCAAAGATGAACAAATTTCCTGGGAGAAGAAATTATTTTATATTGATTGCAATACGCACTAAGCTTTTCAGACACGATCTTATTACTTAGAATGTTCAATTTTTTCTCTTTTGTCTTTCGTCCGCGATTTCGGGCGACGGCGGCAGATCAAATGCGCGCGCCGTACCCTCCTCGAACGCGTATCACGTATTTTTTTTTCTCATTATTACTCGGATACTCAATAGCGTATGTACATGACTATTAACGTACACACGCACAGCATATCCGAATATGTTTAGCCGTTATGACGAAAAAAATCAATTAAAAATGGTAAAAGTTGTTAAAAAAATATTCGACTCGATCAGGTAATTTCTCGAGTCTTATATAACGAGAGTGTATACGGCCATTTTAGGGTTTTTATTTTTATTAACAACCCCGAACCATATCGATCCATCTCCCAGACGATTTGCGAACACGGTACGCCGGTTCGACATCGCATAAATGATGTAGTCGATTTGTACATTTTCGCGAATGATACGAAACATCGGATATTACTCGAAACGAGTCGTCGTTAAAGATACCAAATTCTTCTAGGACATGAAATACAACCGCCATAAGATATCCGTATAATAATTCATAAACGTCATTAGAACCGATACAATATTATATTGTATTATATTATAAATTCCTCCGATTTAAGGTCACATTATAAACTATTTTTGCTGTACTATATTTATTACTCATAGAACTTAATCTGGAACATCCGTAAACTTATAAAACGATATGCGAAATATTTCTGCGATCGCGATCTAATCAATATCGGCAAGGTCATAATTGGAGGGGGGGGTCCAGGGGTCCGGACCCCTCCCCCCGAAATTTTCAAAAGTAGAAATATTTTAGCGGTGAATATAGTTTATTAACTATAAATTGTATTAAATAATAATGTTAGACCCCCCCTGAAATTTTTTTCCAGTTACGGCCTTGAGTATTGGTAGTCTGCGTGGACCATAACAACATTTCAGCCATCCGTTATTTTAATCACTCCGCCCAAGATGCGGGAAACCGATAGATCCACGAATCGAAATAACGTCTCGATCGGACCAGCACCTGATGGTTATCTTACGATTACCGACATAACATTCGCACTATATTACTCTCATCGTCCCTATTAGTATAGTACAGTGAAACTTCTCTTAATGGACCCCTCTGAATAACGGACGTTTTTCGGGAATGGGACATTTTCACTATTTTCCTAGAGGAACATTTATAACCTATAACTTAGGGTTATTATAAATCTATAACCTCTAAATATGGAGCACTATAAACAACGCACGTTTTTATGACATTTCGATTTTTGAAATTGATCATTTTTACCGTAAATTAAGAATAATTGCGGAAATAAGTCTACATTATTGAATTACATTTGATTACATAAATTGTTATGCAGCACAATACATCTTATCCAATCCATCCATTCGTTGAAATATTATCGCGCGTCGACATCTAATGCGTTGTCGCATCATTATTTTTAGTTGTGTTACGGTGCCAATTCGAACGTATTCTTTTCATAAATGTTAATTTTTAAGATGTATTCGTTCAATAGATGTAAAAATAAAATCGTTGTAATTTATATTTCAATTCAATAAAAATACTATCTCTACCTCTGAACCGCGGAAAAGATTTCAGCGACCCTGACGGCGTCCGGTGTTCCGAGGTGTTCTGAGGTTTCGACCTTCGAGTTTTCGCGTGCGACGACGTTAGCTCTCGAGTTCGGTCGCGTTTCGCGAATAATATCGTCGAGCCACGGCCCGGCCGGAACAGGATGTGTATTAGCCGCCGTGCGACTGAAATGCGACAGGACACGTACAGGGGGTGGATTATTACTGGGTAAGCCGATGAATCACGACAACGGCATTTGCTACGTGTACGTTGTTCCTCATTAGTCTTCCTAACGGCGTTTACCATCGTCGACAATCCTACGATTATGACAGCGATCATTTTAGCCGATCCATCCTCGTCCTCCTCCTACTCCTCTCGTGAACTCGTTCCGATCGTTTCTGTCGAACGCGTACATCGTTATTTATGGCCGTCTCAAGTCCACTACAGCTAACTAACCACTACGCACCGCCCACGACCGTCTGCGAGTCATCCGTCAACAGTGCCGTATTTAAAGAGTGCTTCTGGGAACCTATAGTCCACCTGAAATATTTAAGAGGAGGCAATTAAATTTTTACGGTGGTTCTTCAAAATAAAACTAAATCGATTTTTTCGCTTTATCAGTGGAAATTATTTAAGAATAAATAAAATTATATAAAAAATGAACGTTACGTTATAAAATCATTTCTAATATTTAGCTTATATCTATTTTAGAGTATTTTATTAAAATATAGGTATTGGTTTAATGTTGGTTTGTATGGGGATGGGACATTCAGACCGAAAGGTAGTAAACTATTTAAGGGTCATCAGTTTTATAAAATACAATGTTCTATAAATTTATGTATTTGTAATTATAATTATTCGGTTACTATTTTGGATCTGATATTAATTATAAATTATACACAAATATTGTATAAAAGTGTACTGAGAAAGGGGAAATGAATTTCGAGCGGCTTTTTAATGAATATTTAAGGACAATTATTTTCGGTTTTACACTTTAGCGAGGAGGAGAAACAAAATGTTGACGCCCCTGGTCGAAAAAATCTTAAATACGATGGCCCTGTTTGTCAAACATCTGCGGTCGTACTCAATACGTTACGAACACCGTATGATATAATAAACAAGGTACTATGACAACAGTCGTGTCTTATTCTTATGTCACATAAATATGGCGCTGATCTTAAGCCACTTTTCATTGGTTCACCTATTATCGTGACTTCAAACTTTTTTGCCTGTAACCGAACATCTTGATTTTTTTTTTTAATTTTTTTCGGTACGAATATTCACCCATCAAATTAGCGTTAATCCTAATTATTCATATTATTAATCTTTAATAAATATTATTATTTTGAAAAATAGTGAATTTTTTACAATTTACAATATGAAATAATTAATTGTTTATATGTTCATGTAGTCAAGTCTGACAATAATTTGACGATTAATCAGAGTCTTTGCTCATCACAATAATATAATGTACAACCGACGAAAAAGCGGCAGAGGAGTGTATGCGTACCATAAAACTATGCATCATACTTAGCTTATTATATCACTAATACGATCCTTCCATCATAATCATCGGACACACGTCGAATTCATGCTTTTAAATGATAATCGACTAATCTATATTCCACGCGCGTTCGACCCGAGAAACTAAATCAATTATAAATTCATAACGATATCGAGAACGTCTCGTTGGACTCCAACTCGTTAGTCGTAGTGTTATGCACGTGAAGGATGATATCGGTGAAAATACGTATACTTTTTGTAATTTAACTCATTGTTTCTGTTTCGTTTATGTTATATTTTGTAATCGTTCACCAAATAGGTACTGTTTTATTTTTTTCGCAATTAAAATATTTCTCCACGTTTCTCGTAGTAAAACTTTTACCTAACTTTTTACGTTCAACCGGCAATAATCTATAATTATTTTAAGCCCTCGAAGAGATTATTCTTGTCCTTTTGTTTGTAAACCATAAATCTCAAATCAGCCAAACGCTTTATCAGTTTAAGTACGAGTACGCATAGTAATTATTGTTTGCACAAAGTATAAGTACCAAAAAACGAAACATGCTCGTAGCATTAAGGAATTACGATTAAAGAAAAGTAAACACTTCTCATGTATAAGAATTGATTACGATTTTCCACTGCTGAAACCTTCTGAGTCCTAGAAAATCATAACCGATAAATACCACGATCCACATCCGTTGTGTAATGACGTGAACAGAACCGCAGAGCATGAGGAACGGTCGGAAAATATTAATAACCGTTTAATATCATAATAATAATAATAATAATAATTTACCATTGTCAAACTTACACGGGCATGTATATAAGTCACGTTCCACCGTTGATTGGTGCTGTGAGGCGATTGTTTCTACCCGCAAACGGTATAGATTTATCAACGTACAGTATAACATATAACAGAGGAAAAAACGTGATTGTTAACGATTTTTCTTACGACATTGTCAGTATACAATAATAGTATAATGTTCATTGTTCACCGCGATGGCTACACCTTATATATATATAAATATACGCATTCTCTCTTCGGGTCCATATTCGTCGATCATTTTCGCCACACACGATCTGTACTAGCGAATACCGATTTGTTATCGCGAATAATAACACTCGTCTCTCGAATACACATCAACTAACCACCCCTTCCCCAACAATCGTAGTCCAACACGACCCCATAAAGTTTTTTTTTCACACCTCGACTACAGATACGAATGAATATTATTTTTATTTTACTAGATTTTTCACATTATTATAAATGTATGATTTAGAATTGACTAAATTAACAATAGTCAGTTTAATTTATATAAGTGGTTAATTTAATATAAACAAAATATAAATATTTATTAATTAAACAATATGTGAATGATCTAAACCTATACGAAAATTAAAATTAAATATTTGGATCCATAGTAACCATAAATACAACCGTAACCGCGTGTACATGTTGAACATTCAAATCTGAAAATTAAATAAATACTTGTACGAGTGTTTGCATGTAACTATTAATGCCGTATGTATAAAATAAATAGGTGTTTTATAAAACAACGATAATTTTAATCTAAGTATTATTTTAAGTATTCAAGTCCTTAATGATGTAGGAAATAAAATAGAGATAATAATATTACGTTAGTAAATAATTGTATAATTCTATGTCATAATTAAGTTGAAATTTAAGTTTGAAAATTTCGAACTTTTTTTAAAAAAAAAAAAAGAAACATCTACAATTTAGAAAAATTCAAAAATTTCAAGTATTTCATGGTTTCGAAATATTTTAATACCTTTTGAGCTGTTTTAGGTACTTGAAATTTTTGATTTTTCTAAATTATAGATATTTCTTTTTTTTAAAAAAAAAGTTCGAAATTTTCAAACTTAAATTTCAACTTAATTATGACAGAATAATACAATTTCTTACTAACATAGCAATGCTTAAGTTTAATAATGAACAATATATAAATCAATCAAGCCTAAATAAAAAATGGTCTTTTGACCAATCTGATGAAAAAAATTATGAAAGAAATGATAATCGGACATTTAGTTGAAAAAAAAAAACTAAAAGCCTGTGAATTTGAGAACATTTTATAATCAATTTTTTTTCTTTTTTAATGCAAAGTGATCTATAAAAATAAATAAAGACAATAATAAAATTAAATTTACTTCACCACATATTGATTCGGTAGTATTAAGAGCATATAGAACTCAATGATAATATTTAAAGGAGTAAGACGGAAGTGTAACCATTACACAGATGTATAATAAATAACCCACACAGCATTTGTTAATCATGACGATTGAAACAATATTTATATTTAATTGGAATTTAAATATTTAAAATAAAAACTTTTTACAATATATTTTGTATTTTTTATGTTGAACCTGAAACATGCAATAAGAATTTATTAACTTCGATAACAAATATTCAAAAATAATGAACATTTAAAATGCTTTAAATATCTAATACTTAATTCATTGTTTGAAAATGTATAGCGAATGGATATTGAACATTTGTCAAATATTATAATTTTTTTAAATATCAAATAAATATTTCTATAATATGTGAGAAATTGTATTTCTATTTCGTTTTGAGCTTGAAAATTAGAATGTTTTAGATAAAGCCCGTAGCTACGAGTAATATTTTTATTTTAAACGGCAAACCAAGAAAAAAGTTATACGATTTATCAAGTCACATTCATTTTCAGTTAATGTTTCTGTTAATAAAAAATTATAACGATCACATTCGGATTGAATTCTACATTAACTATCTGTTAAAATTATAAAAAACCGAGTCAACTCAATAAGCACCACAAAGTTCAAGGAGACACTGGGCGTACTGGGTATGATAAATTCTTACAGTCATCATAGGGGAAATAGTCGAGTAAGCGTATGACCCGTATATATTTATCTGGTACATTGACAATTGAAGTGAGTGACAACCGACATTGCGATCAGAAAGTGAAATATATCGCACGAAAAACGATCAACACAAAGAATTGCAAAAACTATATAAATATATTCTGTCGGAATTCTTATTCCCATAAGATGTTAGCTAGATGTACAGGTAAAATATTATGATTCTTAAAACTACCATTCAGATGAATATAAAATAATACTATAAGTATATTCAGCAAACAAGATTACACGTTTAATTAAACATGAAGGACATGATAGAAAAGAGGTTTGACATTATTATACCTAGTGAGTTATTTACATTTTCACTAATACTCAATCGTTGATTTAAATGTAGACACATACTATCTGAATATACCCGACGTCGCACGGAATGATCTTGGCCGAAACATAGTTTTTAACGAATTACTATCTCACGTTATTATATTTATATCTTAGCAATTGTTTGTAAAGACGTCCAAAGAAGCGATGGATATATGGAATAAAGCAGGACTTAGAAAAACTAGGTATACCGGATTGGGAAAAAAAAGTATAAAATTGAGAAAAGTAGAAGGAGGTGTCAGTGGTGGCAAAAGCTATTGAAAAGTTGTGATGTCAATGAAGAAGGAGAAGAAGAAATTGTTTGTAAAGCTTAAGGTATAAATTGTAGTAATAATATGAAAAAAAAAACACAAACAAAAAAATAAAAAATATACTTTTCCCCGACTTTGTTTTTAACAATATTTATGTCTATATCATTTGTTGGTAATGTTTTTGGTTCTTCCATCTATTCTCAGCTGCTGTTTTAACAAACTACCTAGAGAGCTTATACGTAAACAGGTGTTCAGTTATATATTCTGAAAACTATCAACAAATCTGTTAAATTATTTAATGCGATAATATTTTGTCAATTAACGAATAACAAGTTATAAAAATTGACGGTTGTAACATGTGTGTTTAGAAATTCAACTCAATTTTCCCTATCACCACAATAAAATTTAAACATTGTCACGTACGAGTGTGTTCGATAATATTTTCAAGTTTATCGCACAACGATCGGCTAATTAAGTATATACTCGTATTATTAAATAATAAGTATACCTGACGTAAACCGATCCATTTTACCGTCATCAGTTTTGACA